TCGCTTCAATGAGATTAGCCTCACTTTCTGGCTTGCTTGCCCTGCAGCCCAGCTGATTTCAAGGAGAGAAGCAACTTAGAACTAAAGAGAAATTTCCCGACACTTAGAACAATTGATCAGTGCAACAGCTTGCCTCCAGAAGTTGTGAATGCTCCAACACTGGAAGTTTTTAAGAAGATAACTATTTGTCTGAAGTGTTGTAGGGTTTCCTGCCTAAGCAGGGGTTGGACTAGAAGACCTCCAAGATCCCTTCCAACTGTTATTCTATTCTACTCTACTCTATTCCAGCTGGTGGGGTCCAGGGTGATAATTTTTTCTCTCATGACTCCCACACTCTAGAACATTGTGCCACCTTCAAAGTGAGATCTGCACCCACCCTTTTAGCCTTTCAAAAAAGGCCTCTGCCAATTAGCTCAGGCCCTGATGAGAACATGTTAAATTGGAGGTGATTAATGGACTGAGATAAGACCCCACCTCCCCCTGTGACCTCCCTTACCACCAGTAGAGCAGGGAGGCAGGGAATGTTACAGGTCCCGTCTCCTAAGGAGGTATATCTGGCAGGAGTCAGGACCCAAAAGAATAGCCTTCTCCATGGTAGTAGCTCCCTCCCTTTGGAACACCATTCCTACAGAGATTAGACTGGCTCTCACTTTGACAGTCTTTTGCAAGGCCCTGAAGACCTAGTTCTATCAACAGCCCTGCAGTCCCCAGAGTAGAATGGAACCCATCAAGTGCTTGTTGTCACCAGAGGGCTATTGTTTTGTTCTTTTTATATTGTTTTTTTGAACTGTTTGTAGACCACCCAGAGTCACTGAGAGTGAGTAAGTACTCTCTTATTTATTCAAATGATTTATTACNGATGATTTGGTTATAACATTAACCCAACCACAGGAATCTAGTAAGGTTTTAATGAATATGAGTAATCAATATGGCCTGATGTCAGCCTCTGCTTTGCTGCTGCTTCGGCTGCCATGAAACGGGGAGGGAGGGCATGGTATTTGGGAGGGGTTACTAATTGTGCTCGAGGAAGCTTCTGGAGCTCGACTGCTTGTGAAACAAACCAAAATGTCTCATTGCCTAATAATAAATTGAGGAAATTCCTGATTGGACTAAAATTTCTGGGAGAACTGAACACCGAGATGGAAGAGATGAATTGAAATATTTATTTATTTATCAAATTTATATAGCCACCTAGAGTCAGGTATTGATATGGGCAGCTACAGGTAGTCCTTTGTCTTAAAACCACAATTTCCATTGCTAATTGAGACAGTTGCCCCATTTTTCAACCTTGGGACCCTTCAGAAATATGAGTCAGTAGCCAAGTCTTTGAATTTTGATCACTTAACTATGGAGATGCTGCAACGGTCGTAAGAGTGAAAAACAGTCATAAGTCATTTTTCAGTGCTATTGTAACTTCGAATGGTCACTAAACAAATTGTTGAAAGTTGAGGGCTACCTGTATATACATTTGATAAATAAATAAAGAAACAAACAAACAAATGTTGGACATCAGCATCTGGTATACAATGATATCACATGTGTCATAATATCATGCATACTATATAAATTATTAATGTACTTAATTTTCATTATAATATCATGACATGCTATCAGTTGCCCCCAAACAATACCTGCGTTGGGGAGAAAAAGAACAATTAGAAACAGTTGGTTTCTGGAAAGGCTTGTATTTAGATTTAGATTATATGTTATAATCAGTATATAAACATGAGGTTTGTAAACTGAGTTTAAGAAGAAACCCAAATGGTTGTTTCTCCTCGGAGTTTTGTATTCTGTTACTTTATGAGATAATAAAGTAGAACCACACTAAAGACTGAAACAACACACCATAGCATGTTCTTTCAGCATGGCCTCGTTTCTCTTCCAGAGTAGTAAAGAAAAAAAACATAATTAATTAAAAGAAAATATCTGCAAGAACAAGGTCATTTGTTTTTATTTATTTCATTTGATTTGTGGGTTGCCTATCTTGTCTAGAGGAGACCCTGCACAACTTACAAACATTAAAAACTGATAAACATTAAAACAAACGATAAGTAACATAATGATAATTTACAATTGAAAGATGCGGGAGAAGGAATACATCATATAGAGGTGGGGTCTTCTCTTAATCTGATAGTCTGGGAACCCATGCCAACTAGCAGAGCCAGATCTTCAGACCCTAATGGAAGATCAGACGGGGGGGGGGGGATCAATGTTCAAAGCTCATGAATTTCTCCTCTTTTTTCCACTGAATGCAAAAGGAAGAGTTTAAAAAGTCATCACTTTCATCTTTGTATTAATCAATTAAACAATTTGTATGAATTAAACAATTAAGAAATTGTTTATAAAACGAAAGCCAAGAAGATCTTTTTTAGGATCTATAATACAATTCAATCAAAATGGAAATTTAGGATCATCTCCTATTCATAGACAAAGTATATGCAGGAAATAGATTCATGGAAGTACATTGTCATTACAATGTAATGTTTACTTAAACTGTAAAACCATCAATTGATCAAGTTCAGATGCAACATATTATACAATTATGCTGAGTTTTGTGTATACTAATTAGTTCTTTCCTTGACATACCATAACAGAAGAACTAGAAAGCTGTTATCAGGTGCTGATACGAGATTCTCAATTCAAAGATCAGGAAACTATGGCTAATTAAACTAACCATAAACTTCAACATAATGGTTCAATAAGAAAGATTATGTCTGAAGTAGGCTTTTGCAGGAATGAGGATCTGATTTTCTATAGAGCTCCCATAGCCCCGAAGGTGGTTAACTGGAAAATATACTCAATGATGGACAGATCTAAAATCTTAAGTATATATCATACTTTTCCTTCTCTACCTTTCTGCCTTGCTCTTTCTCTGCCCATTTCCTTTCCCTCTGATATCTATGCTCAGTGTAATACATGTTGATAATCCTAACCCTAACAACCTGTAAACTGTTGAAAGTATCTCAGCAGCATCCCAAAAACTACAGTATACCTGGAAAAGAAACTAATAAAACCTGGCATTGATAAGGCCTGAATAAAGGGCAAATTATATTGTACAGAAAACATGTTCAACGAGAACACTGAGCATTAATAGTCACTCTAGCACAACCACAGATTTCATCAAGATTTTACTCAGAAGATATAACACTCCTACTTTACCCTGTATCTTTTTTTTTCTTTCTCTCCAGGTTTCATTATTTAAAACACGAAGAAACAACAGATATCAGAAAACCTACCACCAGCCAAATAGCTTTTATTTTACCTTCATGTGAGTTTACTTAACACTAGAAATAATACACTATATTATACAAACCTAAAATGGGGCTCTCATTCATTTAAATGCAACTGGAAATATTACCTCCAATAGGATTTCTACAAACAAAAGATATTCTGTAATGTCAAGAGTGGGCTGAGTCACCTCAAGCAATAAGAGATTTTGATTTTTTTCATGTTAGAAAAAAAATCTTCTTAACAGTAGAGAAATGAAACTTAAAAAAGAGCTAGAATAGATCTTTTCCCTCTTCAATGTTAAATTTCTTCAAGCTGACAATCATCACTTTTTAGTGAAGAAAAAATAAATATGTATGCATACTGCCATAGATGGGATTGTCATATTGGAGAAAAGGAATGTACCACTAGAAACAGAGGTGGGAAGAGAAAAAGTGAAATAGAGGATAACCCAACAATGCTTCTAAAACACTAGGTAAAGCTAAAGGTTTCCTTATCTAGTTGTGGACATGGTACTCATCAACATTTCTTGGCTGAGGGAGTGTTGTCTGAAGGTAAGAGCCAAGGTGGCGCAGTGGTTAAATGCAGCACTGCAGGCTACTGCTAGATCAGCAGGTCAGCGGTTCAAATCTCACCGGCTCAGGGTTGACNACCTTTCTGATTGACAAGCTCAGTGTCTTAGTCACTGAATCACCGCGTTCCTTCCAAACTTCTTAGGCTATTATAAATTAATAGTCCACATGTCCTGTCCAAATTAGGGGAGACACAGTGCGAGATTACTGAAATTTCAGACTTAGCAAGCTGGCAATATTTCTGCCATTTTATATATATTTTTTAAATGCTTGTAACGTTTGAGGATTTGTGAGTGTCATTTGGAAAGAGAATAATATTTTAGTATCTGTGACACTAGATTTTACCACTCCAGTTAGCAGTCAGGCTCCTAGTATCAGAATGAACTAAAGTTTTATGATACATTTTAAGGCAATCAAAAGGAAATCACAAATAAACCAACTACAAACAGTCCTCAATTTATGACTGATTGTTTAGTAACCATTCAAAGTTATGACAGACTTCCCTGAGTGGTCAGGCAACTGCATTTATGGGTCTTTGCAGCATCTCATGGTCACATAACCTTATTTTATGACAGTTTTGATAATTTATTTCTGGCTTTTGGCAAGACTGACCCATAGCAAACCATTTATTTGCTAAGCAACATTCATTTGATGACCACTGCCAAATTGGGTTGGTCACATGAGTGATTTGATTTACATCTGTCACGGCTTATGACTGTGATGGGCAGGCTCCATTGCAATCATATCTTAAGGACTATCTATATGTCACTAGACACCATGCACAATACTGTACTATATCCTGCAGAAATCTTCCCCAGCTTGGTGGCATTCATATATGTTGGACTACAAATCTTACAATATTTAACAATATCTTTTAAAATATTTAACAATATCTTTTACAATATTTAACAATATCTTTTACAATATTTAACAATATCTTTTACAATATTTAACAATGATTTTATACTAAAATCATTTTTAGCATTCAGAAATATATTTACATTACTGTTTTGACAATCACAGTATCTTGACTGAAATGGAAGATTTGCTTTTCTTTAGTTGCAAGGCCAAGCAACATTATAAAGGGAATGAATGAATGATGATTTGTTTCAGAAAGTTGGGGCTTCATTCACACAAATAAAGTTTAAATTTTCATTGTTCCTGACAATGTTGACCTGGCAGTGTAAATATTCTCTGCAGCTAGAAAAAATCACAACTGCAAGAATGAACAAAGATGAAGAAATCTTAAAGGCAGCCAGGGCAGAGCTAAATGAAGCTAGACGCCAATGGCATCATATGCAGACCGAAATAGACTCTCTTCATGCCATGGTAAGTGTGAGCAAACAGCTATTCTAAAATTGTTTTTAGAAAGAAAACATGTCCTCTTCTGTTAACTCACAAGTTTAAACATCTTTATTATCCCATCCAATAAAAAGAACAACTCTTTGGGGATTTAAAATAAGAAGACAAAAATGCCCCACCATATTAAAATTTTCTGGGGGAATTTAAATTAATTCATGAATAGGCCGCATGGGAGAAGGAATTATTAGAAATATAGACATTTTAGTTTAAGAGTTCCTAGCTACTTTCTTATTGAGAAAATATGTGATAATCTAACTGATATTGACAACTAAATCTATGCTTAGACGGTTACTTTATATTGCAGATGAGAGCAAAGTATATTTCTTCATAAAATATTCATAAAATACTTTCTTCATTAAAGAAAAACTTTACGAGTAAAAAAATAATATGACAAAAAAGAATAATAGTGTCCTTTTATGATATTTTATATGTAGAAAGTTTATCTGAAAAAATGATTATGTTTTGTTCTAATATTTATAACAGAAGGAATCCATTGAGGGAACTAGGCCATTTTTTAAAAATGAAGTTAAGGAATTAATTAATGGTATATATCTGAGAAACTCTTTTTTTCCCCCATGAACATATTCTTTCAATTCCCACACCTTCTGCTAATGTTAAAACTAAAGCCAAAGATTCTTCAAACCATCACAGCAATATGGCCTAACACCAAATAAAGCAAATTTCTATTGGGAGAGTCCTCTAGTGCACCCTAAGCCTGAGACAACTGAATCTTCTATTGACCCTTTCCAAATTGTCCCAAAGATTTCAGTCTCTAAAGATAGAAAAAAAGGATTCATCAAGGCCATACCAACCAGGTCATCTTTCATAAGCTTATTATTTGTTACACTTAATTACAGTATATATTTCTATATGGTCCCCCCCCCCTCATTCTCTGTAATGCACAACTATATTAAACTCCAAAAATTGTTCATTGGGATACTATTGTTTTGTTGAAACTAACCCCTTAGATAAATCAGAACACAAACACAAACTCTGGCTTAGATACGTTGATGACACTTTCATGATTTGGCCACACGGGAAAGAAAAACTGGACAACTTCCTCACACATCTCAACATCCTACACCCCAAAATACAATTCACTATGGAAATAGAAGCAAGCAACCAACTTCCCTTTCTGGTTGTCCTAATCTACAAAAAACCCAATGGCTCCCTAGGACACACCTTCTACACACAAACCAACCACTACTTAAACACACAATCCCATCACCATCCTGCACAGATCAACTCTGTAGCCAAGACCCTCATCTCCAGAACCAAATACCTAGCAGACAAAGATCACCTGAAAACTGAATTACACACTCTCACAAACGTATTAATCTCCAACAGATTCCAAAGAAAAGCAATTACCAACCTAATCCAAAGGGATACTCCCCCCAAGAACCGAGACATAGAACAGGACAACGACATCGCCCTCCTCCCTTACATCAAAGGCACCACAGATAAAATCAGCAAAATTCTCCACAAACACAATATNAGCCAAGCTAGTTTGGACCATACTCCTTACTGGCCCCGTTACACCAGAAGAGATATCCCGGTTGATTGGAGCCCTAAAGGCTAATAAGGCACCCGGAGCGACTCTCGGTGCTGCTGGAAGAAAGAGGTGGGCATAGAGTTTGGCCACCTCCATTGCCCGATCCCCGTTGGCCCCGCAGCCCCCGGCGCTTCCCTTTTATCCACACCGCCTCTGCCACGCCCCTACCTGGGACAACCACGGCCGCTCGTGGTTCTGCCAACCTCTTGCCCTCCCCTCGTCCTGGGCTTTCCTTATGGTCTCTTGTCTTGTGTCCGAAGGGGAGGGGTCCCTGGCCAACCGCAGCCTGTCACCCTTTCTCCCTCCACTCATCCCCTCTTGAGAAAGGAAGAAAGGAAGGAAGGAAGGAAGGAAGGAGGGAGGGAGGGAGGGAGGGAGGGAGGAGAAGGAGACCAAGAGAGGGATGGAGATAGGAAAGGAGGTAAGAAAAGAAGGAAAGAAGAATGGTGTTAGGAATAAGGAGGAAGGAGGAAGGAAGGAAGGCTCCTCAGAGGCAGATCTACAGAGATCTACTGCACATGGGAGAAGTTCTGGCAGATGGGACGGAGCGAGCTGGAGGGGGTGTGTGGGGCTTATAGGGCTGTCCAGAGAGGCGAGCTTCCCAGAGGCTGGTCTCCTGCACCCCACGCCCTCCCCTCCAGCCGGGCGACAACGCCAAACTCTTTGCCACCAGCGACTCTCGGCGCTGCTAGAAGAAAGAGGCGGGCATGCAGTTCTCTGCCCCCCGACTCCGCCTTGCCCGGTCACACCCCCTTGCCTTGCGGAGGGCTTGTCTGGTGAAGAAGACGCTTGGAGCGTCGGTGCCAGCAGGCAGGCAGGAGGGGTGCAGAGGGAGGGAAGCACCGGTGCAGTTAGCTCGAGGCGGCGCGCCTTGTCACAAGCGGCTCTCCAGTCACCTGGAAGGAAACAGCGAGTCGAAGGCTGGGCTGTTTCTGGCGGGAAGTTCTAAGCGAGGCGGCAAGAGCACGGCAAAATCAGTGCCCTGTCAACCCCTCGGTTGCCCCACCCCACCCCTCTTGAGCGCACGTCTGGTTGGTTTGGTTTTTTTACATAAAAGCATAAAGGAAAGCCACCCCCGAAGCCCCGACGGATCCCATTCTATGGTCGTTGTCCCACTCTATGGTGGACGCAGCGGCCATAGAGCGGGACACGCTGGCAGACATCGGGCGGCTTTTGCCTGCTTGCCTCACCGGCCGTGAACCTCACCGCACATCACTGCCTCTCTCCACACAATATCTTGGAGGCCACTGCCCCTCCCTCCCTTTCTCTCCCTGCCTCCCTCCCTCCCTCTCTCCCCTCTCCCTGTGTATTTGTGCAGTAATAGCCTCTGTAATACATAGATAATTTATGATTTCTGCATTTCTGAATCTGGGCACTGAACAGAGAGAATGTTTCTACAGAAGCTAATTCTGCTTCAATTCTTTCACAGAGGGGACAGATAAATGGGGCTGTTTTACAGACGCTACTTTTCAGTGGATGCACCCAGATTGTTAAACAGGCTACTCCACATTCTGTAACTTCTATACAGGTAGTCCTCAACTTACGACCACAATTGAGCCCAAAATTTATGCTACTGTGAGACATTTGTTAAGTTTTGCCCCATTTTACGACTTTTCTTGCCACAGTTAAGTGAATCACTGCAGTTGTTAAATTAGTAACACGGTTGTTATGTGAATCTGGCTTCCCCATTGACTTTGCTTGTCAGGTCACAAAAGGTGATCACATGGCCACTGGACACTGCAACCCTCATAAATGTGAACCAAGTACCAAGCATCCGAATGTAAATCGCATGATCATTGGGATGCTGCGATGGTCATAAGTGTGAAAATGGTCATAAGTCACTTTTTCCAGTGAACTGTTGTTAAGTCAGGGAACAACCTGTACTATAAACTGAATGGTTTTTGATAACCAAAGGAGGATAACATGTCATCATCAGTTTGTTATTGTTGCTTGAGTTCAATTTATTAAGCCAGCTTTAACATGTATGTTATAAATGTTGAGCCAGCTTTGTTGATGGCTCTATAGCTGGTTTTAACCACGGAGAACAATAGCTATATAAGCAAATACATAGACTTCCGGAGATTTTTTTTTTTTTTCACAAGCGTCATCTCGCCTCCACGTGAACTGACGCACAAACGCGTTTCCCCTGCTGCCCTTTTTCCAGCAAAGATGTGCCTCCCTGCAGAGGGAGTTGTATGAATTCGCAGTTTCGTAGGAATGCGAACCCATACCCTTTAAATAAAAGGACATGGATAAAGGGATAAGGCTACAGGAAAAACCCAACTCTTTTTTACTGGGAGGGAAACGTATATACATATATTTAAATTTAGCTTGAAGGTCTGAGGCAACCTGCAGATCCGAAGAATTGTGTGGAATATGCCGAAGCGGAAACGGAAGCCGCGATCTGTAATCTACCTGGTTCCTTTTGGGCCTGAGAGGAAAGGAGAGAAAGAGGCCGTGAGGTCTGACGAGAAGCTGGTGAGTCTGCAGAGGCCGGACTCAACCCGTTTAAAGAGAACGGCGTGAGAGGCGGCAATCTCCCCACGCCCCACTTAACCGACGGCCTTCCCACTGCAGTAATTGTGTGAAGATGTTTCTTCTTAACCCTTTGCTTCCTTCTGCCGGCCGAGATGAAGAACAAATGCAGGGGCGGGTGTGGTGGGGGGAGGGGGAAGGATTCTGTTGTGTTCTGTAAAAACGACGGTTTAAAGTCAGAGCCCTTGGTTTTGGAGACAGATATAACCTTAATATCTTTGGCCTTACCTTTTATTTTTTGCTTCTTGCAGTATTGATTCAGATCAATACCGGGGATAAGTGGGTAGTGGACTGCGAACGATCATCTCTTCGGTTCCCCTTTGACAGTATAGTGCTTTAAGTTATAGGTATGGCAAAGGTTACTAGTATAATGGAGCAAAACGCATCTTGGGTACCTTTAACTCGTTTTGAAAAGCTTTTAAGAGTTACCTGTTTTTATCCTATGCCAGTGAGCCAAAGGAACCAGGATACACATGGAGGTTTCAACAGGTAGCATCTGTGATGAATAAAAAACAATGAAGATGAAATGTAACTAGTACTGAAAACCATCAAATCTTATTTCTACTACGTACCTTTAATTTTTTTTAATGGTATTCTAAACTATAAAGTGTATTAAAGTATATGGCATAGATAGGGTTCACACATCACCTAAGCCAAAATGTAGTTGGCTTGGTTGTGGTTTAATGTATTCCATATATCTAGATATTACAATGTGTAAACATCACAGGTAGGTTTATTCAGTAGCATTTTAAGTAGGTTTGGCGTATCAAGTTAATGAAGTTTCAGGGTTATCCAAATTCATTATAATTTGTGAAATCTAAAAGGCCAGATCTTGCCATGAGTAGCATGTAAATACCAAAAAATGAGAGAAGACAGTTAAAAAAAAACAGTGAATAAACATTTTATTCTTAAGACTTAATTCTTCCAAATTAAACAGCATGGAACAGAAAAAGTAAAAATAAATTGATAAAGAAACATCAGTAAAACTAGTTTACATCAACCATCTCCTATCCTACTATGTCAGTATATACAACTTCATGTATAACATTTTATTTTTCAAGCTTATCACTTCCCTCTCTTTTAAAATCTTATCAAGTTCAATCACAACTTTCCTGGTCTTTCCTTTCCTCATGACTTATTCACTCTGCTTCTTTTGTTTATATTGTGTATGCTATTTTTTTTCTAGAGGACCAAACCATTTTGCACTCTTTCTACCTGTGTTATTCACAGCCCTCCATCACTCATGCATTCCTTATACTATGTCATCTTACTCTAGCACACAGATTTCTTAAGAATCCCACATTTCCACTGCCCTTAATTTCTACTAATATGTCCAAGTCTAACAAAACGAGTAAAAGCACAATCATATACACAACAATGACATATATTACCTTCCATGTTTCTATATTTTGCTCAACTTAAAATTTCTCTCTGCATTTTCCCATCTTTAGAAAACATACAAAGTACACAAATGCCATTTACATATGTTACAGTTGTTCAGTCTATTTTCCTAGTTAAATGCAAGATTGTTTTGCCTTTGATAGATTAACTAGACAATCCGTGACACATTGAGTCATCCTTTCAGATGACAGTGACAAAACTTCTAATAGATTGCCTTCAAAAAGTTGGAATACATCCAGATATATATTTGCCATGAAAATAGCCCATGTTAAATTGCATAGCACAGGAAAAAACTTATGACACTTTATGGCCTGACAACAAAATTTTCATGTAATAAAAGATTTCACAAAATTTATCAAATCTCAATTCCATGGGTGTCATGGTCCCACATTTTGGACACTTTCTGTTAATTGGTCCATTTAAAATATCTTGATTCAAAAATTGTTGCCCTATGCTGCACTGTTTTGCCAAGTTAAAGGTAGAAGTGGGAGTTTTAGTAGAATACAGATTTTCACACATATTCTTTAAGATCTTTTGCTGCAAGTTTATTGAATTTCTTAAATAATGTAGCATCATCTGCATAGAAAAGTATGTACACATTTGTGCTTATATCCAATAGAGTTGGTGAAATTGGCCAAATTAAATAAATAATAAAACTTCTAATATAAGCATTATTATATCTATAAATATATTAAACAAAGACAGTACAATCATTTCTTTACTCTCTGTTAGTGTTGAACAATTTCCTAACCATTTCTATCATACTCGTCAACCAACATTCAAATATATTAATAAAAACTGAAAATTGTTCTATAATTCAAACATATTTCCTTTATCATATACCTTTTAAAAAGGTTTGTGAGCATATGCTCCTTTCTGACATTGATAATTGCTGAAATTGCATTGAACTTGTCACCAAAAGCATTCTGATAACCTACCCAGGCACGCTCGTCTAAGTATTACATTAGATTTTACATTCATTCTTGTTATCATTTCATTCTTCCAATAATCGGGTATTAATGCAGTTTTCACACAGTTACTAAAGAAGTTGCACAGCTTCTCCATAAGCAAATGACATCAGTATTTTCATCTTTCTTCAGTTACATCTATACCATCCCCAGTATCTAAAATTCTAACAGCTATTTTTATTCTGATTTTCATTATTAGAGTTAGCATTTCCACCTATCACAGTAATGTTATCAACATAGTATAAAGTATTGATGTTCCTTCCTCCAAATTTAATACCATACTCATGATCTAATCCAGCTTCCCACAGTATATATTCTGGTATTTCCATTCACTTAACAACATTCCACACCCTATCATGGTCAATACAGCCAAAAATTTCCAACAAATCACAATATTTTTTTGGTATTGTTTGGCTTTTCAATTATCCAGCATGCATTAGCTTAATGTTTCTTGTTCCTCAGCCTTTTCTGAAACCATATTAGATTTCCCTTTCCATGAAGGATTCTAATCTATGTTGGGTTATTCTAAGCATTATTTTGCTAACATGTGAAATTTAGGATACTGTGATAGTTGGTATAATCAGTTAAAACTTCTTTCTTTGATATTGGTATATAATCTCTTCCAATAATCAATTGATTATTGTGTCATTCTTCAGATTGTTTGGTTATACCTTTGCATATTCTTCAGGTGTTTGCCATATTTCTGTAAATATTCAATTCCTATAGCATGTTTTAAATTTACTGCTACATTTATACAATATAATATTTACTCTTGCACATGTAGAATATGTATACAGTAACATATTATACTTAGGTTATCTGGCACGTGTTATAATTGCAATATAAATATTCAATTCCTATAGCTTTTGACTAGGTAATAACCAGAGTACTGATCTCACTTCATCTTTTAGTGCTAGAGGTTTTATAAATAGGTAATATTTTCTAAGATACTTCAGTTGCTGATATCTCTACTCTATCCAATTTCATTAAGCTCTTTTTTATCTTTGGTGAATCAATTACTATCTGATTGTAGGCATTCTTTAAAACTGATTCTCTCTTAGTTGAAAATCTTTTGGAACATTGTCCATGTACATATCTATATTGTGTTTTTACATATGTCATTGTAATACTGCATCATGAATATTCTAACATCTCTCTGAAATTATTTGTTAAGTTCCTTCCTGTTATCATTATATTTCTTGGGTTTGGCTTTCTGGCAGTTTTGCCCTTTGTTTGGACATCCAGTTTGTTTTGTTTTCTTTCTTGATGTTTAACAGTCATTTTTTACATTTACCCTTAAGAATTTATTTAATTGGTTATTACATTTCTTCTGGTTCTCTATCAGTGACACTGAGGACTTAAAACTCCTAATGTTTTGCTTGAAAATGAACTATACTCAAGATTATATTATGGAAACTGGTGGATTTCTTTCACTTCAGCTTGATTTGAAATTTGTATGTGAGCAGTTTATGATGTGTTTCATAGTTCCCCTGGCCACATCCTTATTTGTAACAAAGATCTACAATCTCCTTGCACCAATAATATAATTAGATTTTTCTGTGATCAATCTCTTGATTTCCATTTATATAGATATTATTTCTGTCAATGAAAGACTGTTAGCAGTGAAGGAATAATTGGATTGGTGGAAATTGATAAATTGTTCTACTTCATTTTAGTTTCCTAGGTCATACAAAACAACATCATTTTCTTTTTAACTATTTCCAACAAGCAATGCATATAATTTGCATGTTCTATCAATTTCAGATTGAATTTTACCCTGAAACTCATCAAATTCCTCCTCTTTTTCATTAGTAGCATGCAAAATGATTACCATATTAAAGGGTTGGATGTTAAATCTAATAGTATTTGGTTATTGATTCCATTGTAGCTGAGTACTGTCCTGCCTACATTGCTCCTAATTATAAAGATACTGTTGTATTTTTTTTCATGCCCTAAACAGTAAACACTGATCTCCTTTCAGTATCCCCTTAATATAAGTTTCACCCAAATACTAACATCATTTTTATTTTTAATTTCACTATGTTGAAGGCTTTTAGTTTAGCTTTTTTCAATTATTTCCAAATGCTTTTTGTTTCCATAACAATTACTGTACATTTTTTCTTTTAATTGTGCTCTATAAGTATATATCTTCCTTTTCTTTTTGTGTGATATAGCAATAGCCATTAGACTTATATACTGCTTCACAGTGCTTTCCAACCCTCTCTAGGATAAGTTATTCTCCTAAATGCGGTTTATTTTCACCTACATCAAGCTTCACATTAGTATAAATCCGTGTTCTTAGGGATACACAATTCACTGTTTAAAAACAGTTGTTTTTATTATGTATTTTATGTATTTGTTTTTATTTAGCATTCCCTTTTCATTCTTTTTTTAGTATTTTATTGTGTATTTTTCTTGTCTAGTATTTTTTAAGGAACATAGCATATTGTAGTACATTTCTGTGAACTCTGTATCACATAAGAAAGTTTTCAAGGAACTGGATTTTTAATGGTGGCACCTGGTGGTACTAGGCTCAAAGTAATAACTGTGAAAAAGATCTAGATTTCTTAGTGGAAGTATGAACCGGCAGTGTGCTTCAGCTACCAAAAAAAAGCCAATGCAGTTCTGGACTGCTTTAACCAAGAGACAGCACTGAGACCATGAGAATTGATAATACCACTTTATAACAAACTAGTGGGGCTATACTTGGAATACTGCATCCAGTTTTGGTCACAATACAAAAAAGCTGCTGAGAAAGTATGCAGAGAAAAATTACAGACTCATTTGCTGTGAGATGGGCTGCAAATAAATTCAATAAATAAGTAACAAAGATGATAAGGGAGGCTAAATCATATGATGAATGGTGGAAGCAATAGCAGCAATAGCAATAGCAGTAGACTTATATACCGCTTCATAGGGCTTTCAGCCCTCTCTAAGCGGTTTACAGAGAGTCAGCATATTGNGATTGTTGGGGGCAATATGCTGACTCTCTGTAAACCGCTTAGAGAGGCCTGAAAGGCCTATGAAGCGGTATATAAGTCTACTGCTATTGCTAAAATACATTTTCTGTGGTTATATGGCCCGCATAGATATGCGCCAAAGGTGCCCAAAACCCTGGTGTCTTCCCACCAAACTGGTACCCATTTATCTACTCGCATTTGCATGCTTTCAAACTGCTAGGTGGGCAGGAGCTGGGGCAGCAATGGGACCTCACACAGTCATATGGGGCTCAGGCCTTGAATTTGGGCTTTCCAGCTGAGAAGATCAGCATCTTTAACCTCTGAGCCATCACGGCCGCTTATAAAATACTACAATTGCATAATTGCAGTGAGATCAGACCTGTCATATTAAAATATTAGTTTAGTAATTAAATTGCATACACAGAATTTGTGTGACATATATAGCTTTATGTTCAAAATTGTGGCTTCCCTGGTATAAATGATTTAAAAGGCACTGAAAATAAACCTGGAACACATTTTGAAATATAGAATATTTCTTCTGCATCTCCTAAAATGGTATGTTCTAATATATTCTGGTTTTTTTTTTATCTACATAGCAAGCAAGCTAAAAAAACATGAAATTGAAAAAGTGGAAATACTGACAAAGCAAGCAGTCTTAAATGGAGGTGTTGAAAAGGATAGCACAGAGACTCATAATACAATACAGTAAGTTAAATATGTGCATGTATGTGTGATTATAATACCTAATTCATAAAAATATATAATAGGTGCGGCCTTGTAGACATGGACTCCTCAACTAAAGATCACAATTTCCATTGCTAAGCAGGGGATCATTAAATGAGCTTAATGTTTTTATGATGTTTTTGCCATGCAAATATAGCTTCCCCCATTGCTTGTCAAAAGCTAGCTGGGAAGATTGTAAATGTGATCACATGACACCCCGCTCCCCTCCCCCGAATGCTGCAGCCATTATAAATATATTGCCAAGTGCTCAGATGTGGATCAGATGATTGTGGGAATGTTGTAATCGTTGTAGTATGAAGGCAGGTCACAAATCACTTTTTTCCCAGTGCTGTTATAATTTATAATAACACTAAATGAATACTGTAAGTTAAGAACTACCTTTCTAAGCTATATAGCTTACTGAGGAAAACAATAGAAAAATTATATGTTGCAACTCTATTGCCTGGTAATACATATCTTTCCATAGGGGGAATAAAACAGAAATCTTTCAAGTATATTCATTAGAAATACAGATAAATGGATGAATAGACAAATACAGAACAGATGTTCACACACCCTTTTTGTTTCACCAAAATAAACATATATCTGAGTATAAACATGTCTTGAAACTGCAGCTTGAGGACATGTTTTGGATGAATACTTATACATAATAATCTATTTATTGTTTCAGGACAGAAAAAGTAGATGAAGTGATTAAAGAATGGGAAGGCTCTTTCTTCAAGGATAACCCACACTTAAGAAAAAAGTCTGTTTCTTTGCGCTTTGATCTTCACCTGGCAGCTACAGATGAAGATTGTTTACATATGAAACAGAAAAGTCTGCCTGATATTGAAGTGAGGTTGGTTATGAGACGGTCTTGCAGCATCCCATCAATCAAAACTTAAATCAACATCAATTTATTCAAAAATTATTCATGGAATGGGTTTAAAAATAAATATTGGTATGAATCTAGAACAAATATGATTACTTCTTAACTAGAAGAACTTTGTTTCAAATAATAGAGCTTTGCCTAATTGATACCCTTTACATGCTTTGAAAAACTTTCATGAATCAAAGATGATTAGGGGATGATGTCAATTATGATACTATCTTCTAAATATAGAAAAGATTAAATGTTAATCTTTAAAGATTAAAGATTAAACTCATATTAGGTCAATTATATACATTTGAAGAAGTGCTTTGTGTTTTATTTTCCTCCAAATACTATTTCTTTGCATTTAGAATTTTTAATAAATATTTAAATAATGCTTTCAATATTTGCTTTTGTAGGACTAAGAACCAACAAATGTAAAGAGATTATCATATGAAGGGTTAAGATTAAGGTTTTATTCCATTTGGCTTTGTTATAGTTATAATGATTAAATTATCAAATAGCTGTATTTCTTTCTTCCCAAATGATAAAACTATACAAAACCAAGGGATGAAGGTCACTATTCATCTAGTCTTACTTTAATCCTGTGAAATCTATGTGTGTTACTTTATCCAAGGTGATTTATTAACATTGTTCTTAAGGCACAAATACTGACTAATAATTGGTATTTAATTCAAAAATACAATTATCAAAGTAACTGGACTTTTAATAAACAATTTAAAACATTTTGAACACTACTTTGGGGGACCACGTGAAAGCATATCACTGGGTGATATAGGTATTTTTATGAAATTGTGCTGTCGCCCTATTGAAGCTACAACCAAAGTAATAAATTCTTTTTTTTTTTCCAAATTTGTGATAACATTTACCCTCTAAAATAATGAGTTGTTATTCACCCAATTATATTTTATATACTTTTCCTGTTTCCTTTTTTCTTTCTTATTTTTTCTAAATATTATTAAAAACAAAATTGGGCACCCAAGCTAAAATGAGCTGTGTGATTCCTCTCCACCTTTGAATAAAAATGTATTATTTCATTAAAATAAAAGCTAGGCAAGAAATAAATATATCAGTGAATTTTAATAATTACATTTTGGATGTTCAAACATGCCTTATGCATATTAGACTACACTTCTATTCTCCAGGGTAGTTGGCTTGTTCCAATCTTTCTTTATACCCTGTTTCCCTGAAAATAAGACCTCCCCGGAAAATAAGCCAAATTGGGCTTTTGAGTGCATACACTAAAATAAGCCCTCCCCAAAAATAAGCCCTCCCTGAAAATATTGCAACACAGCAGCAGCCATGAGATGACCACACTCGCTGCCTCCTTCACCTCAAAAATAATAAGACCTCCCCGAAAATAAGGCCAAGCATTTATTTCGGGGGGTCAAAAGAAAATAAGACCTGTCTTTTTGGGGGGAAACATGGTATGCATCAGAAGCATCTTAAAACTATAGACATATAACTCCAGAAGACAGGCTTAAGATACAGAAGGATCGTGACAGACTTGAACATTTGGCGCTATCTAACAAAATGAAATTCAATGATGAAAAAAGTAAGGTTCTACATTTAGGCAAGAAAAATGAAATGCACAGCTACAGTATAGGTGGTACCTTCCTCAATAGTAGTAACTGTGAGAGAGATCTTGGCGTCCTAGTGGACAATCACTTAAATATGACCCTGCAGCAGTGCTGCAGCTGCCAAAAAAACCAACATTGTTCTAGGCTGCGTAAACAGAGGGATAGACTCAAGATCATATGAAGTGTTAATACCACTTTATAATGCCTTGGTAAGGCCACACTTGGAATACTGCATCCAGTTTTGGTCACCATGATGTAAAAAAGATATTGAGACTCTAGAAAGAGTGCAGAGAAGAGCAACAAAGATGATTAGGGGACTCGATGATAAGACATATAAAGAACAGTTGCTGGAACTTGATATGTCTAATCTTATGAAAAGAAGGACTAAGGCAGTAGTGGGATTCAAAAAATTTTACTACCAGTTCTATGGCATGGCAGGGGAAGGATACTGTAAAATCTCCATTCCCACCCTACTCCAGGGGAAGAATACGGCAAAATCCCCATTCCCTCTCGATCAGCTGGGACACGGGAAGCAGAGAATAGATGGGGGCAGGGCCAATCAGAGATGATATTTACTGGTTCTCTGACCTACTCAAAATGTCCCCTACCGGTTCTCCAGAACTGGTCAGAACCTGCTGAATACCACCTCTGGACCAGGAGCGACATGATAGCAGTGATCTGATCAGGGACTTGCAGGCAGGGGAGGCAGGGAAGGTGTGGCCTCACCAGTGTCATGAAGAAAAGAAAAGAATAATTAAAAGGAAAAAGGCTAAGGTAGTTGCTGACTTTGTCACAGTGGATGACTCTGCTTAGTGCTTAACTGCAGTGGGAGGCAAGAGAACTACGGGCCTCCTTTACTCTAGCTTTATGATCACTTGAGCAGANGGCTGAGTCAACCCTGAGCCGGTGGGATTTGAACCTCTGAACTGCTGATCTAGCAGTAGCTTGCAGTGCTGCATTTAACCACTGCGCCACCTTGGAAGGAGCTAGATATGTCTAGCCTATCAAAGAGAAGGATTGCAGGGACATAACAATTGCCTTCTTGTACTTGAGAGGCAGACACAAAGCAGCAGAGGGCCGAACAAGAAGTATTGGGGTGGAAACTTGTTAAAAGAGATCCATTCCAAGGAGAAATTTCCTGACAATGAAACCAATTTATCAATGGAATAGCTTGTCTCAAGGAATTGTGGGGTTTTTCAAAATATTGCACAATCATTTGATCTGTATGATATAAAGTCTTCTGCCTTGAGTAGGGGATTGGACTAGAAGACCTCTGAGGTCACTTCCAGCCCTATGATTCTATGTTCTAATGTTCCACTAGACAACCCATGACCCAGTGGGTCATTTTTTTAAGAGATATTTCTTTTATCTAAATAGAGAAACAGAATGACGAAGAGAATAAAAGCGGTATGACTTATGAATAATGATCGATGTAAAATACTACTTAAATTGCCCCCTATTGTGCTATTTGTAGATTTCCATATCTCCATTTCTTCATATATACTAAAATGACTAACAATACCTAATAGAATATTTCTGTGATCCAAATTGGTCATTATCATAGTAGTAGTGAAAAAAATGAATTATAGACTACAAGCTGGACTTGAACATCAGTAATATTGTCTCACCATATTCATTTTTATAACATGCTTCTAATTTGCTGAGAAATAAGATTTTTGATATATTTCTTTACTAAATTAGTAAATTATTCATATACTTCAGAGCTCAGAAATTACAAATAAGTTTACTATTGTTTAAAATTATAATTCAAAAAAGGGGTGATTGTGTTTATGTATTCTCTTCAATTTATGTATTTTAAGTGTAGAAGTTTTAATGCACTGCATTGGACCAACCATATAATAGGCTAAGATAAACTTTATTTTATAGCATTTTGTTATTGCTGTTTTTCAGATCTAATTTCCTCTGGTTGAAACTTTTACCTACCAAAATGTCAAGTAAGTTAAGCTGTATTTTTTCTTAGTTTAATCTATAGTATTCACATTTGAAATGATATAGAATTTTTATTCAATAGTTCAACATAAGTTATACAGTACCTGTGGGCAAACTTATAAAAGAATAAGCTCCATTTAACACATATGTGTTCAACCGTGACCCGTCAAAACCGCATTCCACAAAAGCGCGGTCGACAAAATCGCATATGTGACGTCATCACAACGCGACGAAAAAGATCGAAAAATTGAAATAAAAATTAAATTACAGCAAGCCGATTCACATAAAGGTAAGCGTTAGGGTTAGGGTTAGGTTGAGGGTTAGGTTTAGAGCATTAGCGTTACGTTTAGCGTTAGGTTAAGGGTTAGCGTTAGGTTTTTCGTTAGGTTAAGGGTTAGGTTTAGGGTTAGGTTAAGGGTTAGGGTTAGGTTTGGGGGGGTTAGGGTAAGGTTTTCGCTTTATTTTTACATTTTTCAATCTTTTCCGTCGTGCTGTGATGACGTCACATACGCGCTTTCGCCGACCGCGATTTTGTCGTCTGCGGTTTTGTGGTGGAACCGTGTTCAACGTATCACAATACACTGTAATGTGGCTTCTTTAGTTTTGTGTTAATACAGGTAGTCCTCAACTTGCAACCATTCATTTAGTGACTGTTCAAGGTTATAACAGCACTGAAAAAAGTGACTTATGGTCATTTTTCATGCAACCATTTTGGCTCCCATAGTCATGTGATAAAAATTCATACACTTGGCAACTAGCCTATATTTATCATGGTAGCAGTTTCCCAAGGTCACACAATCACCTTCTGACAAGCCAAGTCAATAGGGAAGCCAGATTCACTTAACAACTGCAATGATTTACTTAACAATTGTGGCAAGAAAGATCATAAAATGGGGCAAAACTTACTTAATAACTATTATTTAACAATGGAAATGTTGGGCTCAATTTTGTTTGAAAGTTGAGGACTACCTATATATTGTGTGACTTCAAGTATTATATTTTGGGATTGTTTTTATTTATCAAACTTGTAGGCCACCCATCTTGCCAAAAGCAATTAGTGTGAAATTAATTTTATGGGTTATTCAGCAAACCAAGTTTCAATAAGCCATTGTTTAAGACTGTGCAAGTAGTCCTAAACTTTCAACAATTCATTTAGTGACTATTCAAAGTTACAATTGAACTGGGGGAGAAATGAATTATTAGCATTTTTCATACTTACGATTGTTGGAACATCCCAATGGTCATGTGATCAAAATTTGAATGCTTGGCAGCTGGTTCATACCTATGATGGTTACAATGTGCCAGGATCATGACACCTTTTGCAGTCAATAGGGAAACAAGATAAAAGTCGTGAAATGGGGAAAAATTCATTTAACAAACATCTCACTTAGCAACATAAATTTTGGACTCAATGGTAGTCATTAGTCAAGGGCTGAATTTGAGCCTATTATTTCTAAATAAGATGAATGTATGTGGTTTAGTT